TGCTTCGAGGCAGCTGAAGCCTCACGAGCAGAACTACCCCACTCACGATCTCGAGTTAGCTGCAGTCGTTCATGCCTTGAAGATTTGGCGGCACTACCTCTATGGAGGCAAATGTGAGATATTTACTGACCACAAGAGCCTAAAGTACATTTTCACTCAGAAGGAGCTGAATATGCGGCAGCGTAGGTGGTTGGAACTGGTCAAGGACTACGATTGCACGATTAGCTACCATCCGGGGAAAGCTAACGTGGTAGCCAATGCCCTTAGTCGGAGGAGTTATGGCCAGTTATCCTGTCTTTTTACCGAGCAAGATGTCCTTCTTCAGGAGTTCGAACGACTACAGCTAGAGGCAGTAGAGCCACCTTCGACAGCCAGGGGTATGTTGACCTCTTTGGTTGTGGGACCGACTCTTCGTGAGAGGATAGTTGCCGAGCAACCGAATGATCGTTTCCTTTGCCGGATGAAGGAGTTGTTGGAAGCCGGTAGAGTTAGAGTGTAACACCCCGCCTTATCGTGAAATAAAATCTTTTACTTTGCGAAAACTGATTTGGGGTGCTACCGTAAAACGTGACTTAATTTGGAAAACCGTTATCTTAATTTTTAATAAAATCATACTGTTACTGAAAGCATAAAGTTTTCCAAAAGTCCGGTCAAAATATAAGTTCATCAAAACCATCATCAGCGGAAATGTAAATCTTCATAATATATACACAGTCAAAACATAAAAGTCCTGAAGCCTCCGTCATCTCACGCTCCCGGCCCGACACCTTGACCTGAAAAACATGATAACAGTGGGAAATGAGCACTATGACACTGTGCTCCGTGGAAACTCATACTAATGTAAACATTGAAAACAATAACAACATCATGATCTTGGCATATACATAACGTCAACATGAAACCGGTAATAACATGAACATGTATCTGATATCATCACGTGAACGTGAACCATGACCGTTACCTCATCTGCCGGCACAAACTAATGCCAGACACCATGTGCACACTCTAGTGGGTAGACTAGGGCCACTAGAACCCATAATGGACCGGCGACTATTCCGAGCGGATACATGACATGAAATACATACCTCAAACATGGTACCGTAATTATAATCAATGTAGTACTTAGTCTGAGTCCCCACCTGATCCGTGAAAATAAAGGTAGTGCTGATGCTCGTGACCTGATCAAACTGAAATATAATATAAACAATTACTAATGACTATGCTCAGACTGTTAACTTAACTGATTAATTATGTTAAGATGCTCTACTGAACCTGACATGATATTTGGACTTAACCGGAATAACCGGAACTGATGAACTGATCAGACATGAATTTACTGAACTGAACTGAACTCGGAATTAACTGAAAATGGGACTTAAACATGAACCGGAATTTAAATATTAATTAATAGGTCAAACCGGTCTAAACCGGTCTGAACCGGTCTGGCCGAACCGCTGGCCTGCTGTGGCCGACGGTTGGCGGCTGACTCGGCCCACGGCCTGCCGAGTGTGGGCGCGACCGCTGCCGGGACTGGACGTGGCATGGCGATTGCAGGGCCTGCCGAGGCCCTGGGTTAGGGTGCTGCGGCGTCTGGCCGCGACTGAACATGAACTAGGCCCAACTGGGAGCTACTGGACGTGCGGGAGATTGACTGGCGCTGCCAAACGCTATGTGAGTTGGCATCAAGCGCCGCTGAACGCTGCCGGGCGCTACCGTGCACCGCGGCATGTACCTGGACGCGTGAACGCGCACATAGGCGCTGCCGTGCGATTCTCACGGTACTGGTCACTCGGGCGGCTGTTGGGCGCTGCCCGAGGCCAACTGAAGTGAAGATACGGGCACTGGCGTGCACTAGGCACTGACCAGTCGCTGACAACCGCGGTAGGGTTATGTGCGACACCTAACTGGCATGCACGCCTGTCACCCACGTATGTGGTCTGACTGTCGGCGCGCACTACCTGCTACGTGCGGGTACGGCGACCACGGTCGATCCTTACCGGTCGTCCGGTGACTTCCTCCGACAACATCAACCCGAACCAACATGACATGACATAACATGGTCAAATATGCTTATATTGCTCGATAACTATGATCTTTACCAAACGAGACTTGAAC